CCTAGAGCAGCTAGAGGAACAGAAGATACTTCTTGAAAGAAAGACCAGCAGGAAAAGTTAAAAACAAAAATGCTAGTCTGATTGGCTACCACAAGAACAAGCAAGTTGTTCACCAGGAAGCCATCAAGGCAAGCAATCAAGTCCCTTCAGGACAAACCCCCTTCCAAGACTGAAACTCAAAAGGAATACATGAGCAGGCATGTAAGCTTTCTGGTGACCACGTTGGTCTACTGGTGAATGGAAGTGGGAGGAAAGCAGCAATGAAGATGTGGACTGAGACCAACCACCTTACATAGTCTTCTTTTGACCTGGAGTGTGGTGAGACCTGATTGGCCCAAAGTATGGTGAGACCTAGGGACTCCTGAGTCTATGGACAAGGACATAGTAACAGAGGGCTACAGCTGAGAGGGAAGCGTCCAGCTGATAGGAAGTGAGGGGAGATGCACAAGAACACTCAAACTTGCAGATAGTACCCATCTGACCTAGCTTTAATGGCTAGACGATCAGAACTCGACTAGAGGTAGATTAAAAAAAAAAAAAAAAAGATAAAACAAGTGTAGACCTATAGTTATGGATGTAGTAGCTCAAAATACCAACAGCAAGGGAAGGAATCTTCACATCTAGTATCAACGCTATTCCCTCTGTACACAGGGTAAATAGGGACGGGCAATTTAGACATTGGCTACCTAAAATGAGGGGATGATAAAAGCACAAAGTGACTGGCTTACAAGTTTTCAAGAGGGAGCTTAGTTTAAGAGTCCCCACTGAATAGTTTTCATCTTTTCTAGATGGGTCTGGTTAAAAGAGATGGGGATAAGATTCTTATGATTCAATAATGAGTAATTGTTATCATGACTAATTGCAACTCTCAAAATTATGAAGGTAGAAGTTTTGTAAAAAAAATGGGGTAGTAGTTAATCTTACAGTCCAGAAATAGAGTACCCTAGGACCATCAAGGGAGAAGAACACAAGCTGATTGCAGAACTCTATCCAGAAAAGCAGAGACACCAGAAATGGAGGCAGAGATGGGGACATGGAGAAAGGAAGCAGCTGAGGACTCTAAATTCATGGTAAGAGAGGGACTGAGAACTGGTAGCCAAGAGGTAGGCTTGCAGAATGTGCCCTTTAGTGGTGTAAATTATTATATATGCCTGAGTGTTT